ACTCTGAGTGCGCTTTCTAGCCCTCAAGTGGATTCATCATTTCTATGATGAGTCCATCATCTCATTTTCTTTCTTTACAATGCTTACTATCTTAAGTCTCTTACTAGACTTTCACTCGTAAGCATTGTAAAGAGGAGGGCAACTGTCATAAGCCAAATTTGGGTTATTCCCTCCAAAATTCATTTTAAAAATAAATAAAAAATAAAATAAAAGCTGGCAATGTGGAGAAAGCTAATCTAGAAAGATTGCAAAAAGAGGCAAAAATAAAGCTGCAATTTTGGAAGGAATTTCAAGGCCTAATTGTACCCTATTATGCCCAAAAATAGAAAAATGCAAATTCAAAGGTCAAATTAAATGAGCATTGGATGAATTTGCATAAACATTAAGTCCAATGATATAATTAAATTTTTAATGGGTCAATTTGATTTAATCATGGGCCAAATTGAATTTTAATTATGTTCAAGAATTAATTTTGGTCCAATTGAAGGATTTAATTAAGTGCAAAGACTTAATTATACTTTAAACGGGTCAAATTAATTTCAGGGCTTAATTGGTGAAAAATTAAGTTTCGGAGCCTAATTTGGACTTAATTGAAAAGATTGAAATTTTAAGAGACCAAATTTAATTTTTACCAAGTGAATTGATTGAAATTAAGGGTCAAACACAAAAAATTAAGGGACCAATTTTGAGACCCGAAAAAATACATTGCGTATAAATAGCAGCCTACAATTCAAGCAAAAGGAGGGGGCAATTTTGACAAAAAAAAAGGAAGAGAAAACCTAAACCACAAAAAACCCTAACATTTTTCTTCTCCCTCACCAGAGGAGTCGCCGCCTCCCTCCCTATGACTTAATTTTTGTTTTTTCTTCCTCCGCCCGGACATATTAATTTCCAGCCCCATCTCCGGCCACCACACTCCTCTCCCTTGGCCCAAAAGAGTTGTTGCTCGAAAATCTCCATCTTCCCTGCAAAGAAACAAAAATCTGCACACAACTCCTCCCTCACCCCCTTAGACCTGTCAGCGTCGCTGAATGATTTCTCACTCTTCTACCGTTGGATCAACGTGAAATTTGGGTATGTTGTGCGTCCCTATATTTCCTACATCCTGACCAGAGCGATCATTCATATTTGAAACCACAAGAGAAATATTACCATTTGAATATTTCTGGACAAACCACTCTCGAAACAGTTAGAGTTGTCGGCCTATTTCTCCCTGTTTACTAATATTTCTGGACAAACCACTCTCAGAACAGTTAGAGTCGTCGGCCTATTTCTCCCTTGTTTACCATTGGATCAATCTGAGTTTTGGATATGTGATGTGTATAGTTGTATTGCACATTCTGAACAGTGGAGATGAGATGAAACCATCCAAAAAAGTGTTATGCGTGTTCAACAGTGGCTCGCCAATCTTAGGTCCATTTTGGTCTAACTCCGATCTAGGAAGATCCAACCGTTAACTTAAGCTGATATTTGGATATATGTTGCATAAGATGTGTGTTTACCATTGTACCATTGGGATTTGTTATTGTTTGAATGGTTGATAAGTAGTTGTTGTTGGAAGCTTTGCCTAGAATCTGTGATGGCTTCCAATTTGAAAACCCAAATCACAACAGCCACTACCGGCATAGGAAGATAGAGAAGAGGAAGATGGCCTCGATCTACCATTTCTGCCACCTTCAGCAGCGGTAGTGCGTAAAGCAAACACGCCGCCACTGCTCACTATTCATGTTCACTGTTCATACTGCCCAAAAGGACTTCCCAGCACTGTTATGGAATTTGTGGGTTATTCTGTAATTTGTAAAGTGTTTAACGTAATATTTGTTTAGTTTAAATTTTTATTTGTATTTTGTAAATATAAAAAATAAACAAAAGAAAATAAAATAAAAAGGAAAAGAAAAATACAGGTGTGTGTTTATATTTGTCTTATGAATATTTATTTTTATTTATGATAAAATTACAGAGAATAAAGAAGGATTTAATATTTTGATTGGATCACGGTGTAGAAATACAAACTTGTATGAAAGTTGTATTTCTAAAATCCGATGAAAAGATAATTTTTAAAACTTCTTTAACACATCAAGTCCACGAAGCAGCGTACCTCAGGTAGGGTGCGTTAGAGGTGCTAATACCTTCCCTAACCACAACTAGCCCCTTACACGTGAATCTTTGACAAGACCAGTACAATCGGGTTTCCTAGTAACCCTCAATTAAATACTAGGTGGCGACTCCCAATGAATTCAACAAGATCAAATCAAACATGATGATATAAAACCTTGATAAAAATATACTTTTAAGTACTAATCATCATCCACATAAGCATTCATATTATTTTCAATTTGGTGTTTGAACACTTTATTGACTATCTCTTTATAGGTAGTTTTTATATTTTTCAAGTTGAAAGGAATTACACAATAGCAAAAGGTTCATTCTTATATGATGAAAGAAGTTTTTTCCTCATTTTCTAAATGAATAAGGATTTGATGATACCATGAGTTAGCATCTAAAGAGCTCAAAAACTTAAAACTCAAAACCAATCATAGATATACCAATTTGTTAATGTTTGGGAGAGGAAAACTATTATTTAGACATGCCTTGTATAGATTGGTGAAATCTATATTTATTCTCCACTTTTTAATGATTTTCTTTTTCACTATAAGCATATTAGCTAACACACACACACACACACACGAAGGTAGGTTGGATTGACTTGAAGGTTATGAGTATGTGTATGTCCATACTAATGGCTGATATGTTTGAGGTGTTAAAAGCAAAATCAGTACTATTAGAGAAGGGGAAATCTACTAGTAATTACTGTCATAACCCAATTCTAGGTTATTCCCTAATTTTGACCCATGTTTTGATAAATTTTTAGAAAAATAAAAAAAACAACAAAAATAAAAAAAATATATTTTTAAATATATTTGTATTATTTTTAGCATTTTCAACATCCTCTAAAAAAAAATTTTAATTTTCAAAGATATTTGGAACGCGTTCAACTTTTAGCGTGTTATTTTTAAAATCATTGATTTTTATTGCTTGTTTTTAAAAATACAAAAAATAAGAAAAATCAAAATTTACAAAAAGTTGAGGAACTAATTTTAAGACCCAAACAGCATTTTGTCTATAAACAGTAGACTTCAATACAAACAAAAAAAAACCAATTTTGAAAAAAA